GTCCTGGAACCCATGGGAGGGTAATGGGGGGCTGGCAGCTGCCCCTATTATGCTCCAGCCCCCTATCACTCACCCCCATGTCCACCTTCCCAGTACCTGACCCCACACTTCCATCTCCATCTAACCCCCCTCCCCCACCCACCAACTCTCTCCTACCTACCCAGCTCTATGTATCCCACTTCCTAGTGTTGCCCTCCCTTCACTGAAGCCCAAACCCTCTCCCCCTATTCCCACCTATTCCTCCACCCCCAATCACCTCCCAGCCAACATTTGCATGTTTTTGGGGGGATCAAAAATAGTGCCAACGCCTTCTGAATATTTAGCAGCCTTCCAATTACATCCGCCACCCCCAAGTCAAAACCCCTTGGCCATCTTGGAGCAAGGTGCCTCCTTTCTTCATTTCAGATTTCTGCCCTGGGCAGATATGAACTGTTAGTGCCTGGGTGACACTGAGATTTAGCAGCAACAACAGCCCCCCCCTTGAACCACTCACACCCAACAGATCACAGCCACATTTCCACCCCCACAGCCGCTCTCTCCGCAAATGCACAGCACTATCCATTTAGGCCATGCCTACACTAGCATTTATGTTGGCAAAACTTTTGTCACTCAGGGATGTGAAAAAAACACAGACATACCCCGAGCGACATAAGAGTTGCCGGCATAAGCACTTGTGTGCACAGCACTGTGCTGGTGGAAGATGCTCTCCTGCCAGCAATGCTCCTGCTGCTCATTGAGCTGGTTTTATGATGTCGACAGGAGAGCTCTCTCCTGCTGGCATAACATGGCTACATGAGTGCTCTTACTGCGGCACAGCTGTGTAAGCTTGTAAGTGTGGACATGGCCTTACCCCTTCTAACTGGAGAACCACACCCTTTGACTCATAACATTGTAATTTGATTCCCCCCGCTCCTCCGCCCCCAGGGATGGGGGTACGGTGAACTCAGTTGGGGTAACTCTAGAGCATTTGAGATCCTGGTGTGACGATCTCAACTCTGGTTTGATCTCCAGCTATCTACAGAAAAAAAAAAAAAGACAAAACATGTCAATTTTTTCATGATTTGTGTGTATAAAAACAAACATCTTCTGTATTTTCCACAGTATGCATCCGATGAAGTGAGCTGTAGCTCACAAAAGCTTATGCTCAGATAAATTGGTTAGTCTCTAAGGTGCCACAAGTACTCCTTTTCTTTTAACTTTAAGACAAGATTTTTTTTGCCTGTATCTCAGGACCTCCAGGGTCAATCTGCCACCACATTGCCTTTGGGGGGAGGGATAGCTCAGTGGTTTGAGCATTGACCTGCTAAACCCAGGGTTGTGAGTTCAATCCTTGAGGGGGCCATTTAGGGATTTGGGGCAAAAATTGGGGGTTGGTCCTGCTTTGAGCAGGGGGTTGGACTCGATGACCTCCTGAGGTCCCTTCCAATCCTGATATTCTATGATTCTTGTGATCTCCTTAGATCTCACAAACTAACCAGCCATGGACCTGGCTATCCTGGAACGGCAAACCTCCAACAGATGGGGCGAAATTGGAGAGGGGTTAGAGAAGAGCCCCAAGAATGATTAAAGGATTAGAAACCTGCCTTATTAAATGTCTACTGTATCACAATGGTTAGATAGCAAATGGTTAATATATTATGAGAAGTTTATGTATGTTTTGTTATGTTTGTTTTTTCTACACATCTTTCTAAAACATAACAAACACTAGAAAAGAAAAGAAAAGAAAAGAAAAGAAAAGAAAAGAAAAGAAAAGAAAAAAGAAATGTTATAGTGGTAGACTGAAGGAGTTCAATATAGTTTAACAAAGAGAAGGTTAAGGGGTGACTTGATCACAGTCTCTAAGTATCTACATGAGGAGCAAATATTTAATAATGGGCTCTTCAATCTTGCAGAGAAAGGTCTAGGATAATCCAATGGCTGGACGTTGAAGCTAGACAAATTCAGACTGGAAATAAGGTGTAAATGTTTAACAGTGAGGGTAATTACCTGTTGGAACAATTTACCAAGGGTCCTGGTGGATTCTTCATCACTGACCATTTTTAAGTCAAGATTGGCTGTTTCCCTAAAAGCTGTGCTCTAGGAATGATTTTGGGAAGTTCCCTGGCCTGTGTTTTCCAGGAGGTCAGACTAGATGATCACAGTGGTCCCTTCTGGCCTTGGATACTCTGAGTCTATGAAATAACCCCCAGTTTGGCTCAGTAACTGAACTCTGCCCATGCACCCCCACCCCCCCAGGGGACACCAAATTTGGAGGCCATTTGAGGCTGCGTGGCCCTCAGAGCACTTACAAATGTTGAGCTGTAAACAGAATGCTAGTCTTAATATTAACGACAGCAGCGCTGGGGCGCCACGACTGTCTGCCTGCCTATTTATTAAATAGCAAAACTCTTTGTTAATGCAGAGTGATGCATGCCCGGTGCTATCTCATGCCCTTACAGAACATCAAGTTCAACTAAACTTAAATCTCAGAAAACCTGCAGCTACAGTATGAAGGTAGATGCCGCCGCAACCTTAACTCTGACCCCTGGAGCCGGCTGAAGTCACTGGCAATTCTCTTCATGCACTCTGGCTGCAGTCCCTGGGCTAGGTGTTGCTGTACTGAATGACAGAGAGGTTGGCTGAAGCAGCTTGGCAGAGCTGTGATTGTGACATGAGGTGCCCTGGAGGCTGTGCCCCTGTGGGGTTGTATGTGAGCCTTTCTCCCAGCCCCCCATGTGTGTGGTCACAGGAGCGGTGCACATGCACCTGGGGAGATCCGATCTGCCTCATTTCAGCACTGAGTTGTGTACATTGTGTCACTAGCGGGCCACAGAAGCATCTTGACGTGGGGATTGTCAACAGTGAGCTGGGACCTGCGGGTGGGTAGTGGGGTTAATGAAGGTTAAGTGAGCGTATGGTGTTAGAGAGCACCATGTGCATAGGCAATCAGCTATCTGTCCACCAATCCATCAATCTCCATAGCTATACATCAATCAATCTTTCTATCCAACTATCTGTCACGTGCACATCTATCCATCCCTCCATCTCAAATACGACAATAAATATATCTACCCATACACACCTGTCTAGTTGTCTTTCTATATGAACTTCTAACTATAGATTTCACCCCACATCCCCTACAGCACCTCTGTCTCTACCTATCTGCTCACATCCCCTCTATCTATATCTATCTATCCCATACATGTCTGTCTGTCTGTCCAGCTCAGGTCCTGGGGGACAGCTCTCAACTCATGTTGACACGGTGGTCAGAGGTCAGTGCCATGGATCCTCTCAGGGGCATTACTCCTCACCCCATGATGCTAGAGGGATATTGCACTTGGGCCTTTCCCATTCATGCAGAGACCAGGCCATACCTGCCCTGGTGCCAGGGGAGGGGCTACAGTGCCAGAGGCTGCTGGTCCCCACCACCACAGACACCCCACCTTGCCCCTGGGGTGCCCAGCTCCACAGCCTGCTCCCCTCTGGTGGACGGGGGGCAGGCAGCATGAGGCTCTGCATGTGGGGGTGAGGACATCTCTGCCCCACATAAGGCTCCCAAAAGATGCTGGGAAGCAAAGGAATTTTACCTCTCACTGACAATTAACCCTTTGGGGCCCAGACATGTAATGGGGGTGTGTGGAGAGGGTGGGTAGCTATGTGGGGTGGGGGGCACAGTGGGGGTTGGGTGTGCTGGAGGGGCGGGTAGCTCTAGGGATGGGGGGCACAGTGGGGGGTTGGGTATGCTGGAAAAGGGGGCATGGAGGGCATTGGGAAGCACCGAGACTCTGCATAGCCCATCCCTGCTTGGGTCCCCGGTGCATTTTGGGTCCCTCTTGGGCACGGAGCACATGGCCAGCAGCGGATGACAGCCCCCTGAGTCAGCACCCACCGCCCACCCGCACCCGCAGCGTCTGTCTCTCCATCTTGTGATATTTCACTCCCCGGGAGCTGCACCGGAGGCAGCGCAGCAAACAAATCCTGCGCCAGCTTGTGCCGCAGCAGCCTGGCATAGCCCACCAACCCAGGCCCCCACCCCCCTGTCCAGCCCTGGGCAACATGGCCATGGTTGGGGCACACACAGCCCTGCCAGCCACAGGGTACAGCTCATTTCAACCCCCCGGGGCACAGACTGCTGGGCTGGTGGGGGGCTGGAAGTGTGAATCCTGGTGCTGGTGCCCCGGGGCACGGACCCTTCATGTGTGTGTGGGGGGGGCTGGGAGTGTGAATCCTGGTGCTGGTGCCCTGGGGCATGGATCCCTCTACTTTCAGCTGGGCATACGGCTCCAGAACTGCCCCGACATGGCAAGATGAGCAGAGAAGGGGGGCAGGGTGGGCACAGGGCCAAAGTTGCTGGTTGGTTTCCTGGGAGTGTGTTGCCTGCTGGCAGATGAGTCCCTGGCAACGCCAGCACCAGCTGGTGCCCATTCCCAGCTCTCTGGCAGCGGCTCCTCCTCCCCCTCCCACCCGGCTCTGCTCCCAGATGTGCCCGTCAGAGCCCCAGAGCAAGAGAGGGGTTGGATGGGGAGGATCCCTCTCTTGGCTCCTCCCACTTCCCACCTTAAGCCCCGCCTCAGCCCCCAGCTCCCTTGCCCTGCTAGACGGTGAGCCAGCCCAGCCCCCAGGATGGCTGGCTCAGGGGGGCAGGGGATGGGGCACAGAGCCTTTCCCCTCTCGGGGACGCTGGATCTGATCCCACCCAGGGCAGGGGACTGGCTGGCTCAGGGGGGTGGGGAATGGGACGTGGGGCCTTTTCCCTGTGAGGGTGCCAGATCCCATCCGCCCCGCGGTGATGCCCTCCCAAGGATGGCGAGGCTGGGGGGCGGTGTCCTGCCCACTGATCTCGCCTGTTGTAAGGGGCACTGGCTGCCCCGCTCCCCGCCCTTTGTTGGCATCTGGAGCCCAGAGCCCTTGGGCTGCCCCCGGTGGGGCGGGGCGGGGCGGGGCGGAGCCCGGCCCTAAAAGCGGCGGCCCCGCGGCAAGGGGAGGAGCCGCCGGGCCGGGATAAGGCTCCGCGGCTCGCAGAGCTCACTCCTCCCCGCGAGCTGCCGGGAGCGCAGCGTAGGGTGTCCGGAGCGCAGCGCTCCCAGCCCCGCCACGCCCCGTCCCGTTCGCGCCCCCACCCCCACCGGCATGAGGCCGCCGTGCGCTCGCTGTCGCCGGCGCAGCGGGGGCTAAGGTGCCCTCCAGGGGCGCAGAGAGAGCGCCGGGTGCCAGCATTGGAGAGTGCTGTGCGCTCAGCGCCCCTGCCCAGGCGCGGGCACTGGACTGAGTCCCCCCGAGCGCTGGAGAGCACCGCAGACTGAGCGCACCCGGCACTGGCCTTAGAGAGTGTTGAGTGCCCTCTGCCCAGGCGCCAGCATCAAACTGGGCACTGGCACGGAGCCGAGCACCCCAGGCACCAGCGAGCACTGTGGCCTGAGAACCCCACGCCTGGGCACCAGTAAGCCCTGCAGACTTGGCAGTGGCCTGAGTCCCCCGTGCATTGGTGTTGAGCCCCTGCAGGCTGGGCTTTGGCAAACACCGCATCCAGCTGGATCGGCGCTGGGCACCTGGACGCTGCTGGCCGAGGGTCACTGAGGCTTGGATCTGCCCCTGCCCTGCTCCGTCCATCTGCCCTTCTTCGCTTACCTTGGCAACATGCTGCCCCGGCCGGTACACCTTCTGCACGGTAAGCGCCATTGCCAGCTGGCTCCTAGGCTTCACCCCGGGGCCCGGTGGGACCGGACGGGAGCTGCTGCTGGCTTGGCAGCATGAGGAGGATAGGATGGTGCTGAGGGGTAGTACCAGGTGGAGGGCAATGCGGGGGGGGGCACAGATGGGGCGGTGTTAGGGTTGGAGGACACAGTGTCCTGGGTGAGGGGAACACGGACAGGACACTGCTGGCAGGGGGAGAGGGACAGTGCTGGGGGGGTACAGATGAGACACTGCTGAGTGGGGGACACAGCACCTTGGGCGGGGGGTGTCAGGGATGGAGGGAACTGTGACGGGGCACTGACAGCACAGCTCCCTGCGGTGGTGCTGGGGAGAACACAAGCACCCTGGACGGGCATGGAAGGGGATAGCGGCGGGGAGGATGGGAGGGTACAGGGCAGCTGTGGACAGGAGGGTGCCAGGGGGCAGCAGGACACACAGCATTGGGTGCATGAGCAAGACAAGCCCTGGGGTGGGTGGGGACTGTTCATGCCCTGGCCTGGGGGGTGCAGGGCACTGCAATGGGGGAGGGGGAAGCCAGAGCAGTGCAGGCCACACTCTGTCTCCCCCCACCCAGCAAGCACAGGGACAGGTAACGGGGGGAGCTGAGCACCCCCTGCTCCCGAGGCCAGGGGTGGCGCCACCCTCCTCGCCACACACCCAGCTGCTTAGTTACCTGGGGTAGGCCAGGGAATGGGCCATGGGATCTTCCCCTGTTGGGGGTGCTGGCTCTGATTCAGCCATGGAGATGAGGGGTGGGTTGGCTGGCTGGGGGGGGTGTTCTCCCAGACCCCCAAATGCACGCATCTTGTGAGAGGCGTTCCAGCTGTGCCCCCTGCAGGACAGGGCTGGGGTGGATGGGGGGGCATGTTCTTCTCTAGGGTATTTGGTGCTCAGGGGCTGGTACTCCAGAGCTGACTCAGCTGATGAGAGGGGGAGGGAGACAGATGGGTCGAGGGAGGGGGCAGATGGGGAGGGATTGGCAGGGGGGATATGAGGGGGCGAAGCAAGGATCAGAGGAGCTGAGCACATAAGGGGTGGGTCTGGTGTTGCTGCTCCCCTGGCACTGGGGGTAGGCTTGGCAGTGCTGCCCCCTGCTGGCCTGGTCCTGGTGCCCCAGGCGACTGGTGCCATTTATAGCCATTGCATTCTGCAAGAGCTCCTGGCGTGGCTAGCAGCTTATTTTGGGGGTCTTAAATTATGGACAAGCACAGAGCAGCTCCCGGCAGCACGGAGCCCCCTCGCCTGCATCACACGTTGCGTCACCACCCCACAGCCTCCCTGCCAGCCTTCGCTCTGCTGCGGAGTGTGGGAGGCTGTTCTTTAGGTATTGCCCCCTGCCCTTTTGCTCCCCAGAGCCTTCATCCTCACCCCATCTTTCTCTTCGGGGGCTCCCTCAGCTGTGGAGCCTTCTTTGCCAGCCAGCTGCCTCCTCTTAGGGCTCCCCCCTCCACATCTGTCTGAGCGTCTGATCCTATGGGGACCACCCCTCACCTTCGTTCCCATCAGTAGCCATCTCTGCACTGCTCCCACCCTCCATCCCCACCATCCTCTTCCTCTGTGGGAGGCTGGACTGCTCCCCCGGGCTTTAGATCTGCAGTTTCTGCCCCTCTGCTTCCCCTCCCCTTCTTCTGATCCCCCCCTTGATCTCTCCTTCCCCCAGGGCTCACTGCCCTGGTTTGCGGGGGGGGGGGCATGCCCACCAGATTCTATACCCACCTCCCTGCTCCCCTCTTTCCATGGCCACATGCCATGTTCTGGGGACCCCACTCCCGCAGCTCTGCCTCCTGGGTCAGTGGTTCCCCTGTTGGTTGGTCAGCTGCTCAACTGGGCATAAGCTGGGGTGGCACAGACACTGCCCCAGCCCTCGGCAGGAGGGAGAGGGGGATGGGACAGCCCCAAGGGAGCTACCTACAGCCGGTGCCTGGGTCACTGCAAAGAGCCAAGAAAGTGGCTGGAGATCTAGAAAAGGAGGGACTGCCACAGTCCTGGGGGAGGGCATGGGGAATATGCCTGGGCAGGGTTCTGGGGTGCTGGCATGGGGCCCACAAGGTAAGCGGGAGGGGAGAGGTGGCAGCTGTGCCAACCTCCCCACCCTGGGGCCAGGTGCTGATAAGGCAGGAAGGCTGGTGAAATGCAGACTGGGTGAGGGGTGCCATCCCGGCCTCTCTTTGGGGAGTGGAGTCAGACTCCAGTAAGGGACCCCTGCCCACTGGCTGGTAGCAGGGAGTGAATGGAGCGGCAGCCCAGCTAGGACAGGTACAGGGCCTTGGGAGAGGGGGATCTGAGGGGGGAAGGGTTGGAGCAGGGAGAGAGAATAGGACAGGCCTTGTGGGAGATGAGCCCAGGGGCACAGGCAGAGCTGCCCTGATGGCACAGACAATGCTGATGGCCATACAGAAGTGGGAGGGTGGGTAGGCTGAGAATCTTCCAGCCCCCCTCCCCCTCCCTCAACCTGCACTTAGAGAGAGCCACAGGCCTGAATTATGGATGAGGCTTCTTGGGTTACAGCTGCTCTACCAGGGGTGGGGGCCCAGAACAGCCCCCCAGGCACTGGGCATTGCTGGACTCCTGCCCATCCCCAGAGGAGTGCTAAGGAGGCACTGCTGGACCAGTCCTAAGGGGACACTGCTTAATCCTCTGAGAAGGATTAAGGGATCAGAATTCAGCTCCTGAGATTCCCAGAGAGAGACAGGAAGTGCCCTATACAGGGCCTGGGGGAACTTTATCGACACCCCTCAGTGAGAGACAGGGAGTGGAGTTAGCAAGGAATGCTCCTAGGAACTACCACACTGGGTCAGACCAATGGACCATCTAGCCCAGTATCCTGTCTGCTGACATGGGCCAATGCCAGGTGCTTCAGAGGGCATGAACAGAACAGGGCAATTATTGAGTGATCCATCCCCTGCTGTTCAGTCCCAGCTTCTGGCAGTCAGAGGCTAGGGAAACCCAGAGCATGATGTGATTGGGATCGTCCTTGGGTAGCTCTATGATTGTCCTATACCTGACTGAGCCTGGGGGGTCTGAGTGTGGGGATCACCCCCTGAGTAAGCCCCACTCACACACACACACGCACACACACACACTGGGTGTGTGGCTGGAGCTGCTTTGTGGGGAGAGGAACACGTGTGGGTCCTGAGTGGGGAAGGGGAGAGGAGGAGGAGGAGGTGGTGTGAACAGGAATGGCAGCAGCTTGTGTCACTCGCTCTGGCGTCAGCCGCCCACCTACACATGCTCTGGGCACATGCATTTGCACATGGGACACACGCACAGAAGTGTTCACACGAGAACACACGAGCGCATTTGCCGCCTGGGATCAGGAGCACCCATGGCCCCAGGCCTGGGAATACTCACCCATCCCCCTGGGAATGGAGACTCCATATTGGAAGGTACCCAAAGGACACCCCAACACACACACACGCACCAGGATCACAATGCACATGCAAGGCAGGGGCGTGGGGGTGGCCCTGGCTGGGTGGAATTGGGGCTCTAGTGCACGGGGTGGTATTGGTGCAACAGCCCCTCTCACCTCCTGCCTCTCTGTTTTCCAGGCTCTGTCACCCCCCTCTTCTGCCTTCTGGCACTGATGGCGGCCCTGCCCCCGGGGGTGCCCACCTGCCCCATGCTGTGCACCTGCTACTTCTCCCCACCCACGGTCAGCTGCCAAGCCAACAACTTCTCGTCGGTGCCCCTGGTGCTGCCCCCCAATGCCCAGCGCCTCTTCCTGCAGAACAACCTGATCGGGGCACTGCGGGCGGGCACCTTCGGGCCCAGCACCATCACCCTCTGGCTGTACTCCAACAACATCTCCTCCATCCAACCCGGCACCTTCCGCCACCTGTCCGCCCTGGAGGAGCTGGACCTGGGGGACAACCGCAACCTGCGCAGCCTGGACCCCGACACCTTCCGGGGGCTGGAGCGCCTGCAGTCCCTACACCTCTACCGCTGCCAGCTCAGCAGCCTGCCCAGCACCCTCTTCCGCAGCCTCTTCAGCCTACAGTACCTGTACCTGCAGGAGAACAACCTGCTCTACCTCCAGGTGGGTGGGGGCAGGGATCCCGGCCACAGGGATGGACATACAGGTGCCTGCAGCTCGGACTGGGGCACTGGCTGGCTCCAGGGGTGGGGAATGTGACATGGCCTTTCCCCTCTAGGGGGCGCCAGTTCCCACCCAGCTCCAGGGCGGGCGCACTGGCTGGCTCAGAAAGTGATGAGTGGGACCTGGGAGACTTTTCCCTCCTAGGGGGCACCAGCTACAGTCCTGCTGAGCTGGGGGCTGTATTCTCTGGGCTTAGGCTGAGATCCCCACCTGTCGTCTTGCTGGGAGTCGGGCTGCCCGGCCGATGCAGCTCCCCTCCCCCACTCTCCTGCAGGCGGGCTGGGGGGAGCAGAGGGGCTCTTTGGTGCCTTGCCAGCCAGCTACTCTCAAACCACAGTCCATCCGGCCCCAGGCGTTGTGGCTCCTCCACAGAAAGGAGCAGCCCAGCCCCTGCAGCTTGCACCAGGGCGGGGGGGCAAGGAGAGGGAGGCCCTGCCAGACAGCACTGCCTTCAGCATAGCGTGCCCTGCCCTGCAGAGATCACAGGGCTGGGAGCTGGGTGGTTAGGTGGCAAAGCTTGTGTCATGTCATCTGACTTGCCTGCCATCCGTCCCTCCCTCTCACTGTCATCTCGCCCCTCTTCCCTTCCTCCAACCTCTCTCTCTCCATCCCTCTGTCATCTCTTCCTCTCCTCCTGCTTTCCTTCCACCTCCCTCTATCATCCCTGGATCCTTCCTTCCTTCCATTCCTCCCCCTCTGTTCCACCATCCACCCTTCCCTTCCTCCATCCACCTTCTACCCCCATCTATTCCTCCATCCATCCAACTCTACCACTCCTCTCTCCCTTCTTTCTACCCCCTCTGTCCATCTGTGCTTCCTTCCATCCATCCACCCCCTCTCCATCTATTCCTTCATCTATCCATCTCTACCCCTTCTCTCCTCTTCTCTCCCTTCCTTTTTCTTTTTTTCTACTCGGCTCTCCATCCGCCCCTCCTCCCCTTTTTTTCCCCCACTCTCCATCCTTCCCACCTTGATCTCTCAGGACGACCTGTTTATGGATCTGGCCAACCTGAGCCATCTCTTCCTGCACGGGAACAAGATCCGGGTGCTGTCAGAGCACGTGTTCCGGGGGCTGTGGGGGCTGGACCGGCTGCTGCTGCACGTCAACCGGCTGCACTCAGTGCACCGCTGGGCCTTCCGCGACCTGGCCAAACTCACCATCCTCTACCTGTTCAACAACAGCTTGGCAACGCTGCCAGGCGAGACGCTGGCCGAGCTGCCCTCGCTGGAGTTCCTGCGCCTCAACAACAACCCCTGGGCCTGCGACTGCCGCGCCCGCTCCTTGTGGGCCTGGTTCCAGCGCTCCCGCGTCTCCAGCTCGGCCGTGGCCTGTGTCACCCCGCCTGAGCGCCAGGGTCGTGACCTGCGCCACCTGAGCCAGGCTGATTTCTGGGACTGCCTCCCGGCCAACCACGGCCCGGCCCGGCCTGCCGGGGGCACCAAGCCGAAGTGGGGTGGGGAGGCCGAGGCAGGCCGGCCCCGCAGCAACAGCTCCTCCAACCACCTGTACGGGCTGGGGGAAGCTGGGGCGCCTGCCGCCGACCCCTCCTCCTTCTACCGGGACCTGCCGGCCAGTGACATCCGCAGCCCCAAGTACGACTCGCCCACCGAGGTGGACTACTGGGCCGGCTATGGTAGTGAGGAGGGCCGGCTCAAGGAGGGTTGTGCCGGGCCTGGCTGCTCCCCGCTGGACTCTGGGGCCTGCCAGCCAGGCACACTGCCCGCAGCCCTACCCCCACTCCTGCTGCTGCTGTTGGGGCCCCCCGGGCTCTGACCCAGCCCCACCAGACTGCCCCGGACTGAGCAAGGACAGCGACTGTGGGAGGAGGGGAGGACAGACCCTAAATAACCCCCCATGGCACTGAGACAGGGGGGCAGGCCCTCAGCCCCCATTCTGGGACTGAGCCTGCCTTGTTTCTCTCTCACACTCACACACACACACACACACACCTGCCCTTGTGGGCAGCTGGCTAGTGGGGAATGTGGAGTTTGAGCAACGGGTGCTTTCTCGATGCCCAGTGGATTCCTGCTGCTTGTCTGCTTTTGGATGGGAGCCTATCAGTGCAAACAGGACCCCCAGAGAACCCCCTGCTGGCACCCCAGCTTCCCTCCCCATTAGGCCCTCACACCTCCAGGGAACACCCACATAGGACCCCAACCCCAAGGGACCATTCCATGCTAGCCCCCAACCCCCTTGATGTTGCTCACTGGACCCCCCCCACCCACCCACTGCACCATCTCTCCCACCCTGGCTAGAGCCCCCCCCTTCCTATGTGACAAACTGTGCAGGGGGACCAGCTGTTGGATGCCTCTTCCCCATGCAAAAGTCCACAGCATGGTCCCTAGGAGTTATAGCTCCCCTCCTGCTGAAGAGAGAGGGGGATCAGTGTCCTTTTAATCCCCTACTGTCCCTTCTAAGCCACACCACCCCCTGCTCCCACATGCCCACAGCTGCCCCCCCAACCCATTCCCCACATCCCTATAATCTCCACTCCAAGCTACTGCTTTCCCCCACACACAATCCCCCCCCCCCCACTGCCTCCTAATGGAGAGAGAGAGGGAGCAGCGTCCCCTCCCCTGCAGTACTCCCAGCCCCTTCTTTCCCTTTCCCACATGACACCCCCCCTCATCCCCACCCACCTCTCCCTTCCCCCATCTCCGTGTTCCTGGACTGGCCCTCGGGGATGAAAGCTCTTTCCTTCTCCCCTTCCCTCCTCTTAGTCTGGTGGGATCTCCCCCCAAGCCCCGCTCTGCGGCTCTGACCCCCCCTTTGCCGACACGTCTGATGCTGGATGTTTTTCTGCTGCTCACCCCAGCCCCCTTCTAACAAGCAAAAAAAAGGGGGGGGGGGTTGGAAAATTATTTATTAAAAAAAATTCTATTATTTTAGGCCAGTTTGTTGGACTTAGTCACTCAAGCACGTGGGCAGCAGCTGCCTTGGAGTCCAGTTCCTGAGCTTGCCCGCTCTTGTCCGGGCAGCACAGGGGTATTCAGATTGCTGGCTCCTGGCTGGCTCTCTGGATCCTATCTCAGGCCAGGAGGGTGCCAAGCCTGGTGGGTCTGAGTCCTGATGGGGTAGGTGCCCTCATTACCAGCTCCTCATGCCAGCTGGCACAGATTCCCATCCCCGCAGAGCGGGCATGGACTCAGCAGGCAGAGGAGGTGAGCAGCAGCAGCTCTGGCAGCTTTTGGTCTCTTGCCCACAGAATCTGCTCTCATTTCAAAACAGCAGCTTCTGTCTCCTGAAGCTGGCAGTGATTTGGGGGAATCCTGGTGGCCCAACCTATTGGCCCCACGCCTCCCTGCCCCTGATGACTATCCCCATTGCAGGCTCTCGCTCTCAGCATCGTAGAGAGAACCCCACAGAGGCGTGATGTGCATGCTGCTGCCTGAGTCTGCAGCCAGCGTGAGCCGATGGCCTTGGGGGTGTCCCTTTCAGCTGAGTAGGCTGTTAACTCTGGAACCCAAGGATGGTGATCTCACTGAAAATGACATGAACTTGTGGGTTGCTGCCCAAAGCCCCTTGCCCAGCATCTACCTTCAGGGGCCTGGCACACTTGGACCCCATGTTCACTCGTGTTCTCTTGCCCCCCGCCACTTCTGTCTCCCCATTATTGGGGTTAGGGGTGGGTGCAGGGTGAGCATGAGGTTGATCATGGGGTGGAGGTGAGGGATGGGGTGGGGTGGTCACATGGGGATGGGCGTTGGAGGTCAGTGAGGGGGGTCAAGGCAGGGTCTCACTGGAGCCCTGTGCTGTGGCGGCATAGGCAGATCTGGCGCTGTGCCAGAGGGGGTGGCTCTGCCTTTCCAGGTCATGTCATTCTCCTCGTGAAATATTCATGGCCTCTCTTGCAGAACAGCAACACAAGCCAGTGAGCACGGCTGAGTGAAAGAGCCTTCCCGCAGGGCAACCCAGCACTCCCTTCCCCCATCAGCATCCAGGGGTCGCCTCATGCCACATGAACCCCAGTCCCACCCCTGCCCCTTCTACCCCAATCCTCATGAGGCTCAAGGGGGCCTGGCCAGCCATGGGGGGAGAACAGAGCCCAGAACAGAACAACCACCTGCCCGGGGACACCAGGGAGGCAGGAGGGACGGGTCTGGCCATGGTACAGCTTTTGTGTTTACAAGAGGAGTTAAAGCCACACAGGGCAGGAACTGGCTCAGCCTCCCCTCAGCAGGCTGGCTGGTGTGAGCCACCATGTGAGGGGCTCTAGCCCAGAGCTATCTTCTCTCCTCCCTCCCTCTCCCAAAAAAAACCACCTGGCTGAGGGGCAGCTAAGGTAGCTCAGTGCATCTGTATCTCAGCACTTCTCTGGCCCCCTCCCGTCTCCATCTGTAATGTAGTTACTAGTTGCCCCATGCAGCAGGGCTATTCTCCCCATCGTACAGAGGGAAACCAAGGCACAGAGCGACTCTGTGTGCTGACACAATTCCCCTTCCCCCCCAAAAAAGTTTTCTGAAATGATGCCCCTGGGTGGGAAGCTAATGGGAACGGAGTCTAACCAGAGGGAGTGCTGCATGCCTGAGTCTGCCCGCAGCCTGAAACAACAGCTCTAGCATGGGTACTAGCCACCCTTATTCATCACATGGAGCTGTCAACTCTGGAGTCTACTGGTGACCCCTGTGGTGCCAACCCAGTGAAACATGGCTCTGCTGCTGATCAAAGTGAGTGAGGAAGCAGAGGAAGGATGGAGAGAGATTTGTACTCCTGGGGGTGGGTCTTGGTTTGTGGGACAGGTCTTGGGAGGCTGCAGCTCAACCACAGTGCAGCGTGGTAGGATAGTAAGGGAGGTCTGCCCAGCCCCTGCTCTGGCAGCCACTGCCAGCCCCAAATTCACATCCCCCCCACCCCCCCAGTGTCACACTCTCCTGCACAACAGCTATTGTGAACACACGTGCAGCTGAAGGTGGGGAAGCAGCTGAGGGAACAGGGCTGGCCCTTTAAATCTGGTGGGGGAGGAAGGCACCTGAAGGCAATGTGGCTGGCCCTTTAAAGTAGGGGGAGTGCATCGGCAAGGCAGCTGGGAAGAATGGGGCTGGCCCTTTAAACCCTTTAAATTAGTGAGCCAGGATGGAGCTTGCAGCTGGGGTCAAGGCCAGGCCCAGTGCCTGCCAACAGGGGGCACAGCCACATACCATGGGGAGCAGCAGCGGGGCTCTGGGGTCCCTATAGCACCCCAAAGCTGCCCTCCGCAGATCTTCATAGCCAGTGCCCATTGCACATCGAACCCCCTGCCACTCAGCCACGCAGAGCCCGGCTCAAGCCGGTAACCGCCCAGCTGGCTGGCCCCTCTTCCAGGCTGCTACCTTGTTCTCCAGCGACTGGGCCAGGCGCTGGCTGTGCGGAAGCGCCTGGGAAAATATCGAGGACAGGGAGACACGTAACACAAGGGTCCAAGGCAGCTCTCTGTGGCTATGTTCTCTGGCAGGCCAAGCCCCGGGAATAACCTCACTGCAGAGCCATGAGATGGGAAGGTGCAGCAGAGCTGTGAGCATTCAGGATCAGCCCAATGGGCAACATGGCCCAGTAGCTAGAGCATTCCTGGGTTCTATTCCTGGCTCTTCTGCATGACTTCAGGCAAGTCACTTTCCCTTCTGGGCCTCAGTTTCCCCTCCCACTCCTCATCTATTCAAGCTGTGAGCTCTTTGGGGCAGGGGCTGTCTCTCATTGTGTGTCTGTGCAGCCTCCAGACAGAGGCTGGAGGACTCCAACCCTGGTGGGGGTCTGGGCAGCACCTGGCACAATGGGGGCCCTGTGGAGGGCTGTGGAGGGCCTATCACTGCACGGTGGCCTGACATGACAGGGGCCTGATTTTGGTTGCTGCCTGTAGGTGCTACAGATAGTAATGTTCTCTCCCACTCCCTGTGCCAGGAGAGAGCTGGGAAGCCTCTACTGGGGGTCATCAGGGAATTGCCACACACAACCTATTGGGCAGCCATGCGATCTCCCATTAATGAAGTTCCAATTTAATGGCCTGAACAGCTGTTCACCGCGGGATCAGGGGATTAAGCGGCAGGAAAGCAAAAGATAAACATCTTCAATGGTTTTATATCTTAAAGCCATAAGGCTATTAGAAAGTACGGGACACGATTCAGGGAGCCAGCTGCACCGTAGGGATCCCCATAGCCTGGCAGCTGGTGGGACCAGCCAGGGGTGCTGATCAAAGCTACAGTCTCGCTGCCTGATGGGACCAACCCCCCTGTGGTAACGCCAGGGGGGTAGATCCACCCTGGTGGGGCTTGGCAGGGGGAACATGAGCCGTAGCGCAGGCCCAGCACAGACAACACCCCCTCATGCCCCAGAACATCTCCTCTTGTGAATGCAACCTGGTGCCTGCCCACCATGCTGGGGTGGGTCTCCCCTGCCCTATGGTGGTCTACAGGGCCAGGGCAGAGGGATGACTCAAAGAAGGGGGCAGATGGGCGGTTCTTAGCCCGGCAGCGTGGGGCCATGCTGGCAGCTGTGGGGCGTGGGTGCAGAAAAGTGGCCCAATGCACTCAGCTTCTGAGCTGGAGAGCAAGCACATGGGGCTGCGGGCAGCTGATGTCCATACAGGGATCTGAGGAGACAGGCAAAGGAAGAGCAGGTATTTAGCTTAACAAAGAGCAGGTTATGGGGGTGACTTGATCACAGTCTAAATGTACCCACATGGGGAACAGATATTTACTAATGGTTTCCTCAGTCTAGCAGGGAAAGATCTAACATGATCCAATGCCTGGGAGCTGAAGCAAGACAAATTCAGCCTGGGAACAAGGCGTAAATGTTTAACCACTGGACCCACTTAGGAGCCTTGTGGTGGGTTCTCCAGCACTGGCAATTTTTCAATCAAGAGGGGCCACTTTTCTCCACTCTGCTCTGGGAATGATTTGGGGGCAGGTCTCTGGCCTGTGTTACACGGGAGATCAGACAAAAGGATCACAATGGCCTTGGCATCTAGGAGGGAGCCAGGAGTCCAGGGAGCCAGGCCTTGGAATGATCAGGTATCAGAGTCTGGGCAGGAGAAGAAACGAACTGCAACTGGACAGCGCATTGTGTGTGCCCATGTCTGAGGGTGCTGTGCCCAGTGTGCCCAGTGTAACAGGCTGAAGGGTAGGAAAGAGACAGGCCCTTGGGGCAGACCGATTCCCCCTTCCCCGACCAATTCACGCTCTGCAATAAGAGTTGACCCCCCTGCCTCCAGTAATCCTCTCTGTGATCATGTGTCCCAGGATTGCATCTGCTTTCCCCTCCTCAATTCTGCAGAGGATCCGTTGCATTGGGAAGAGCCCCTTGGTTAGCCCACCACCGCCCTCTGCTGGAGGGGAGCATAGATGTGTGTCATGGGCCCCATACTGCTCCCAAAAAATGACAAATCCCGGATTGTCCAAGTGCTGGGGTGTGGGAGGGGCGCTGTCTGGGCAGGAAGTCTCTGGAAAGGCAAGGCTCTGCACAGTACAGCAGGGCGCACTTTCTGTGCAGGGGGCACTGGCAGGGCAGGTTACAGCCACGCTCTCCCTGTGTCTGGCCCAGATTCCCGGGCCCCCGGTGCCCAGAGCACAGCACTGCGTGTGACATCACAGCAGCTCACTGACCCACTTTCCAGCCAGTCAGCGAGCCCCACGAGCACAGAGTCCTTGGGACGCGGGGCACTTCCCGCACGCACTGATGCACACATGCAATGATACACACTCACACACACACACACATAGAGTGACATGCACACACACACCAATGCACACGCACTCACAATACGCACAGAAACATCAGATACATATGCTCACACACAGAAAGACACGCAATGGGCACTGCTGCGGGGAAGCTCGCAGTGCTGCAGGCAGGCTAGTACTGTTGCAGGGAAGCTTGCAGCTCTGTGCTTAGGCTGGC